TTTTTGTAGACCTGGGGTTTGTACTCAGGGCCTGGGTGTTGTCCCTAAGCTTCTTTTACTCAAAGCTAGCGCTCTACCACTTAAGCCACAGCACCATTGCTGCCTTTTTCTGAGTAGTCTATTGGAGATAAAAGTTTCACAGACTTTCCTTCTTGGTCTGACTGAACTGCAATCCTTAGATCTTCAGCCTCCTGAGTATATAGATAACAGATGTGAGCCACCAACACCTGGCTAACCTTCCTTTTAAAGTACTTCCTATGTTTTTGCATATAATGGGCTTAGAGTTTAATGTATACCATATCATGAAATCTTTTCTTGAGTCATTGCACTAATACTTTTTGAATAATAATTTTGTATACAATATAAAGACTTTAACGAAGTTAAAACATCTAATTTCTTAAGCTCTGTAGAAGTTCAAAATTATATTCAGAATTAAAATTCTGTTAGTTTGGCTTTGCTTGCATATGTTTACCTAAGTTCATATCTCTTGTTTTGTCCCTAAGGGTTTATGACCTTGAACAAGTTACTGAACATATTTATTTCTGTTGCTTAAATCTGTAAAATGTTTTTGAATACTCTGATATATAGTAGGAAATTCAGAAAAGACTTCATTTATTCCCTCATTTAATATGTAGCTTCTGTGTATTTTCATTGTGTTATTAGACATATAAAAGTAAACAAAAACCACTACCTGATTGGAGCTTACTCTGATTAGGAGGTAGATGGACATTAAATAAGAAGTTTTTAGAATGTCAGACATAGGTAAGTAATAGGGAAAAAATGAAGCAGTATAGAAGTATAGAAGCAGGGCAAGGAGTCCTCTTCTAGATGAGGAAGCTATGGATGGTCTTTCTGAAGATGAGATGAAGGAATTTTGAAAGCAGGATATTTGACTACTTGGGAACAGGAGGGAGAGAAGCAGGATAGCTGGAGTAAAAGAACAAAGTTGGAGATAGATATAGGGTCTTATGTATCAAAGAGTAATTTTAGCCTTTACACTAAATATGGTGGGAATCATTCAGGAGTGATATGATCTTATTTACCTTCCAAAAAGTAAAACTGATTTATTGGGAATAGGCCAGAGTAAGTCAAGGAAGGAAGAAGTGGGGTAAAGAAGAAATAGAAATGCGATTGCAGCAAGTCATGGAAATGATTTTAAAGAAAAAAGGACTAAGAGCTGGCTATAGGAACTGTTTGATAGTTATTTTAAAATATTTTTGCCTTGATTGTAAAATTACTTTGTGAACATAATTTTGTCTTTCTTTGAATTATTCAGAATTTTCTACTAGTGGAACTTCAAATATATAAGTACAGAACATACTGAAGATACTTAAAATCTATAGTACAAAATTTTTTCTTGTGATTTTTGTGTATTTTCCTAATCTGGTAGTGGTGACAGATACTTCAATTAATTTAGCAAATAAAGGATCAATGTTCTTTTAAGTATGTATATGTATATATTTATTTGGTTTTTAAATTTTTTAGTTACTAAAATTACAATAATATATAGCTATGATATCAGTCAGTATGAGCCATAGGTATTTTGTGGGAGCGCAGTGGTAATATTTTCTATAGGTTTACAGCAAAGAAACTATTTATGATTGAACAAAATATATGTAATTGCTTCTTGTAATTACTAAACAAGTAACTTTTAAATAGAATTATACTTGAATTAATCTTACCAAACAATTTATGTTGCCTACTTTACATTTTCCAGGAACATCATTTACAGCGAGCTATTTCGGCACAGCAAGTATTTAGAGAGAAAAAAGAAAGCATGGTCATTCCTGTTCCTGAAGCAGAAAGCAACGTCAACTATTACAATCGCTTGTACAAAGGAGAGTTTAAACAGCCTAAGCAGTTCATTCATATTCAGCGTAAGTTTGTTAAATGTTTTTGTTTTTATTTATCAACCAATGAAAAAATTTTTTGCTCAGAATTTAAAATTCTTTCCATTCATACACACTAATTAATAGAAATTTAAGTGGAACTAAATATACCTTTTATCCCCACTACTCGAGAGGGGCAGAGATCGGGAGGATCAAAGTTTGTGGCCTAGCCCAGCAAGTCATGGGCTGGAGTCACAAATCGGGAAAATCTGAGTCCAGCCAAGGAAAATTGTTACAAAGACACCACCCTACACACACACCTCAACCAACAAGCCAGATGTGTGTAGTGCATGCCTATAGTCCCAGTCATGCAGGAAAATTGAGGTACCTGTCTAGTCCAAGAGAAAAAAATCAACTATCTGAAAAACCACTAAAGCAAAATCAGGCTGGAGGTGTGGCTTAAGTGGTAGAGCACCCGGCCAGCAGGACCCTGAGTTTCACACTAATATAATCAAAAAATAAAAAATGTGATTAGTTCTGTGCTTACAGATTATTGGAGGTTATTTTGAGTTTTAGTAATATTTTTAACATTCAATATTCGTACAGTGTAGGATTTTATGTAGCACTTATACTTTGCTCTGCAGCTAAAAGGTGGATTTATTTATTTATAAATAAACCTGATACCCAAATGAGATGTATTTTTTAAAGACCCAGTGGTTATAATGTTCAAGAGTTAGGGTTGTTTCTGCTGAAATTTTACAGGATTTGATTCTATGTAGAATCCAATTTTTATAAATGTCTGTCTAATTTTCCTCTCTTGGACTTGTTTTCCTCCCAGTGTTACAACTTAAATGAATACCATCTCTAGCTTTAAAACAAATTCAATTATCTCCTAAGAGTAGTTTTTTTTTTTTCTCTATACTGGAGTTTGAACTCAGAGCCTCAAGTTTGCCAGACAGGTGTTCTATTTTGTAATATTTACTGCTCTCTATTTCCCATCCTTATTCTTCTCCTTCCATTCTTTATTGTCTGTTGTAGGAGCTTTCACGTGAATCTGCACACAAATGCTAGTGCCTTAGTATCTTGTCAGATTAAAAAGTAAAAAACAAAGTCAAGTACCTTGTTAAAATAGAGATTCCAGTGCAACCTAAAGTACTTACCTGTCTGAAAATCTCTGGATATCCTGAGCAATCTTTTTTGAAAGTTCCTCAGGTAATCCCAAAATAACAGATTTAAGGTTGACTTTTTCATCGATCCTATTACACATTTTTTTTGTTTTTCATTTTGGCAATGAGATTGTATATTAAACTGCTGTTGTCTAGGAGTATAGTCTTGTTCTTCTAAAGAGAATTTGCATTTGTTTCTGCCAAGAACCCAGAGATGCTACCCAACTAGCCACAGACTTGTTCAAAGTTTAATTTTTGAAACATTTTTTTTCTTCCTTCTCTCTAAGGACAACTTAGAAATACAGAGTTCCTTTTTGCTTGGCTGGTTTCTTTATTTTACATTGAAGGTATATCCTTATAGAAATATTTTATTAAACTCTTAATAGTAAGACCTAAACATTAAGCTGTTTTCCCCCTAATAGTGGTACATCTTATAACTTCAGATTTGATAGAATTGAAAAATAAAATTTCCTAAGATTTGTTCTCTGTTGCTTTTCCCATCCCTCTGTGTCATAGGGAGTATAGAAATTAATCTCATTTTCTTTGTCATGTTTCATAGTTTTTACATGTTAAAAGCAAGGAATTATTTAAATGTTTTCCCCCCTTATTTCAAACCTAATTCCCTTAGATTTTACTGACTTTTTTCATTCTGCCTATTTTGCTTATTATAGGATATGGTTCATACCGCTCTCTGAGGATGCACCACATTTTAATACAATTATTTGTGTAACTATTCTTCTTGTACACTGTGAGCCTCTTGAGGTCAGGAACTGTATTTTTCTTTTGTGTCCTCAGAGTAAGGTGTTTGATTTGTAGGTGCTAGATAACTAGTATGTTTATTGATTTACTGAAGTTTTTTTTTTTTTTTTTTCTGGGGCTTGACTTCGGGGCCTCAGTGTTGTTTATTTTGCTCAAGGCTAGCACTCCACTATCTGCTTTTTTGGTAGTTTATTGGAGATAAGAATCTCACAGGCTTTCCTGTTTAGGCTGGCTTTGAACTACAATAGACAGATTTCAGTGTAGCTAAGATTACAAATATGAGTCACTGGTATGTGGCTTATTGAATTGCTTTTAAATAACCATAAAAACCTTTGGTGGTAGAGTCATTTTCCAGTGACTTCTCTGAAGTATTCAAGAGAAATATTCTTATAAACATTTTTGAGATTTGTTTCTTTGTTTCCTGATTTTGCATTTCTTTAGCTTATTGAATTTGCCTTGACCTTTCTGTAGTAAGGAAGGAGACTGCTGTTCAGATTTGGAATTTTAAATATTTCTCTTAAGTCAAAATATCAGTTTCATATTTTAGTAAGAGTAGAACTAAGAAGAGTAGGTCCATTTGTAAAGACCATTCTAGTAAACCAAGAACAAGAAATTATGTGTAACTCATCTAGGTTAGACTCATTGGATTCAGTAAACATTAATCTTAATGTTTTAATTTCACTTAATTCCTATTATAAAATGGAATAAAATAGTAAAGAATTATTGTAACAACTTTTTTGTCTTTCAGTCAGTATATACTATATAGTGTATATTATACTATATCAATCTAAATAAAATTTTTATTCTGATTTTTCTACTTATATTTCAAGTTGTATATTTCAGGTTATTTATATTTTAGGTTTTTATATGTTATCTGTTATTTTAAGGTATATCAGTTTCTCTCAAATTGATAATCCACAATTTGATGACATATTCCTATTGTATGTGAGATTATATGTGCTCAGTTTTTAAATTTGTTTTTTGGAGTTTTTAAAATAGAAGTCTTACATTTTTATTATATTCTTTTTTTTAAAAAAAATAGAGTTTTTTTATTAAGGTGTTGTACACAGGTACATTGCCATTTCATAAGCAAGTATTGAGTACAATTCTTTTTGGGCAATGTTACCCCTTCCTTCATGACTGACCCCCCCCAAAATAATAATAATTAAAATAAATAAAAGTCATGTTAAACCAGGAAAAGTTAAAAACATGTAGGTTAAGCCATAAATTGGATATATTATGGCACAGAATATAGATATGGTGTGATTAGTAGACAGGACACAAAAGAAGGATTGGTCATAAGGTATGTGTGTCTTGGCATGGAAACACCTAGAACCTTTTTTGAGGTTTCTCAATGAAGTCACTATAATATAACGGAGCAGACATCGTTGTGCTAGTAGATGTTACCAGAAGTAGAACTTCAGCATGTTCAGCCAGATGCTAACTTCTCTGTGAAAAATTTTCTTGTGATAGTACATTACCCCTGGATTATTAACACTTTACAACATCTTATGTCTATCAGTTTTCCATGCAAGACTAAAAGAAATTTGCCTTCTATTTTTCCCAGATGATATAATTCTGTGGGCTCTCTATCTGTAAAAACATCTTGCATGCACTTAATGTACTGAAAAATTTAGAAGATTTTTTACCCCCACGGTTATGGGTAAAAGACAGTGAAATAGTTATCATTAACTCGCCTTTCTGACCTTTACGCTTCATAATGGCCAATTCCTCAAAATACTACTATGAGGCATGGCTCATCATTGTAAGTTTCACAGTAAGCATAGAAATTCATTACCTTGGAAGTGGCGCTGTAGCTCAAGTGGTAGAGCGCTCGCCTTGAGCTGAAGAGCTGAAGGACAGCGCCCAGGCCCAGAGTTCAAGTCCCACAACCGACAAAAAAAAAAAAAAAAAAAGAAATTCATTACCTTAAGAGGTACAGTTAAAGGACTCATTTTGGGGAAAATAGGATAAACTGCCTATTGATAGAAAAGACATATGCACACATTGGTATAGAATACTCCTTAGACCTGGTGGGGCCTAATGAATGGAAGAGCATTGCATGGAAATGATGGCAGGCACTAGGCAAATGGAAAAAACTTTAAGTAAAGGGTCCCATAAAAGTAATAAAAGTAAATATTTCATATTTTACTCTATTATGTACAGTAATGAGGCATACCATTGAAAGGTGGATTTTGGTATTAGGAAAAGCCCTAGTTCCATTTAAAAATTAAAAAAAAAACTTTTTAAATTTTGCAAATCAAAGACATTAAAGAGCCAGGGCTGGTGGCTCATGCCTGTAATCCTAGCTACTCAGGAGGCTGAGATCTGAGGATCGCGGTTCAAAGCCAGCCAAAACAGGAGAGACCGTGAGACTCCTATCTCCAATAAACCACCAGAAAACCGGAAGTGGCACTGTAGCTCAAGTGGTAGAGCATTCGCCTTGAGCCAAAGATCTGAGGGTCAGCACCCAGGCCCAGAGTTCAAGCCCCACGACCGACCAAAAAAAAAAAAGACATTAAAAAGAATCATCTATGCGACAATACAGGCCAAGTCTTTAAAGAAAAAAATGTTCCCATTCAATATATATGTACATACACACTTGAGCACACACTAAGAAGATGTGCAAAATAAGATTAGCCAGGACCTTTGAACATTAGGAACTAACTGAACAGAGCCGAAAAAGTGGCCTTTAGTACCTTTAGTCTTGCTCTAGGCTTTCTTTGAAGATCATTGCTTAATCTTAATAGAGGGAGGCTCTACTTGGAAAAGAGCTATGTGGCAGTTATTGGTTCCTAAATTTCCCACAAAGCACTATGGTTGGTAAAAAATAAAAGTTGCTTTGTATTAAATTAATTGTATAGGATCTCTGTCAGACACTCTGTCAAAAAATTTATGGTTCCTATACCTTTTAAAGAGGCTAAAATGGGTTGGAAATAAAGCCATCATTTTCCCACGGAACTTATTCAGAAAAAGTATGCTTTATTGACTCAAGAATAATCTTTCTGTGATACTAAGAAAATAGGGTTGTTTACTGAGTGATGTTTGTACTCTAATTATAATAGAAAGTAAAAGGTTAATTGCAAAGAAGAATTGCTGTCCCATCTCTTAACGGTAACTAGC